GAGGCTCGTAAAAGAGCAGACGGTCTCTGACTTTTCAGAGACGCTTGACGGGGTCGGTTGGGGGCGCGCGCGCACATTGTGGCCCTCGGCTTTAATTGGCCAAAGTACAGGTTTCGATCCGGGCCACCGCAAATTTTGATCAGCAAATTTCGAGGGGCGGCCGCAAATTTTGAGGTAGATTTTGATTGTCAAAACGTGTCCGTCTTGGCACAGGATAGAGCATATAGGCGGCGAACACCAGGTGCGCAGACATCGCGACTCTGCCCGCTCGCTCGACCCTTTTGCCGCGAGAGGGCGCCGGCCGCGTGTAAGAGGTCGCTGGCGCCCTGAGGCGGCATTTGGTGGCGTGGGCAGTGCGGAACGCTACTGGCGGCGTGACAGGGCCTCTCTCGGCCGCGTGTGCCGCCCATCGGCACGCGGGTGCGCAGATATTGTGCGACTCTCCCGCTCGCTCGACCCTTTTGCCGCGAGAGGGCGCCGGCCGCGTGTAAGAGGTGGCTGGCGGCCTGGCGCCCTGAGGCGGCATTTGGTGGGGTCAGCGTGCGGTGCTGAGTCTTACTCGTCGGCGCTGCGGCCAGATCCCAGCGCAGAACTCTGCAACGCTGGCATACAAACACAAGAAGACTAACCCTAACCCTAACCCTAACCCTAACCCTAACCCTAGGTCAGCGTGCGGGGCTGAGTCTTAGTCGGCGCTGTGGGGCCAGATCCCAGCGCAGAACCCTGCAACGCTGGCATATACAGACACAACAAGACTAACCCTGACCCTAACCCTAACCCTAACCCTAACCCTAACCCTCGCTAAACGCTAACCCTAATAACCCTAACCTAACCCACCCCCCAACTCCACACCGCAAATGTGAAAGATCTTGATGAAAATCAGGCCCGGCAGCAAATTTCTTCAAAATTTTCGCAGGCGCTCCGCGCCTGCAGATTTTGAAATAAATTCGACAAAATTGGTACCTGGCCCAAGGCTTTAACCACAGGATTTTGTCGAATTATTTCGAAATCTGCAGGCGCGGAGCCCCTGCGAAAAGGGTGAAGACATTTGCGGTGGGGGGTCTTTCCCTTCAACGTTAGGGTCGGGGTTTCGTAGGCGTAGCCCGTAGGGGGGCGTAGCGTAGGTTAAGGGATAGGGATTAGGGTGCCCTACGTCCTAGAGCGCGCGGGTCGTCGGCGTTCGTTCGGGTTAGGTGAAGTGAAGCGTCATATCTAGGAGGTATTTTCTTCTCAATCACAAGGTCTCTGTGAACAGGGCCTCCAGGGCTCGCACCTCAACGTACCTCTCACATAGACCAGCGCGCAGCGCCAATGAGCTTGGACGCATGAGCCCCGCTACACAGCAGTGCTTGCCATATTTACGTACTGGTACACGCCGGTCGCTCGTGAAACCGCCGAAGCGGCCCGGGCACATGAAACCGTTTTAGCGACTCGTGCACCCGGGTGCAGGCGGCCGACCCGCTCGCCAGCCACGTGTCTCGCGGCCACGTGTCCAGGAACATGAAATTATGAAGCTGCGGAGGCGACACTTCTCGAGAAGTAGGTGGTAGCTACTTTCGGACACAAGCGGTTATCGACCAGTAGAGGAGAAACCAAGTTCAGGATGCGGCTGCTTGGACACCCATGCAAGACCGAGAGCGAAGTCAGCCCGTGCGCTGCCTGACATTGCGCGTGGGTGTGACGCTGCCCGCTTCCTGCGAGCTGTCCGCAACCACGGTGGCCTGCGAGCCGACACCATTGGCTGCTTGAACAATCTGTTCCAGCTGGCCTGTCAAGTCAGCCATGTTGGGCTGGCACACATCCAAGAGCACGCCGTGTTCACGCACGTGCTGGACCAGCTGTCGCCATCCCATCTCGCCGTGTTCCCCGGCTGCGAGGGTGTCCAGCGCACCGACGATGACAACGCGAGCTTTGGGATGTCCGCGTCGTACGTGCGCGTGACCTTGGCTGAGAGTGAGCCCCGTGTGGCTCCACCCTCATTAGAGAGGGCATTGCGCAGGGCCGTTGCGAAATCGGTCATCGCCTCTTCATGGCCCGTGCGACTGGCGGTGGCGAAGGCAGCAATCATCGCCTCCCTTTCAGCTCGGGCGGCGGCAGCGCTAGCCTCTCGGTCAATGCGGGTAGCCGCCGCATTGGCGGCTGCGATGGCTGCAGCGATCTGATTAATGTCGATTTGCGACGGCAGTTGCGCCGGGTTTGCCTCCTGCGGTGGCGCCTGCGTCGGTGGTGCCCCTTGCGGCTGCGGTGGCTCTTGCGCCTGCGGTTCTGGCTCTTGCGCCAGGTGCGGCTCTTGCGCCTGTTGTGGCTCTTGCGCCTGTTGTGGCTCTTGCGCCGGGTGCGGCTCTTGCGCCTGTTGTGGCTCTTGCGCCTGGTGCGGCTCTTGCGCCGGGTGTGTTTCGGCATCGCGTGCTGCAGTGCTCCGCGTGCCAACAGTGTTGCCATGCAAGGCGTGCATGTACTTGTTCCACGATTTGTGGGATATCGCCCAATTGTAGGCGATGACACCGGTTCGGCAACCGGTAATGGCGTATTGAAACGCGTCGATCAGGACGCATCCGCCGCTACCACGCTGCGCGAGCGCGGGTGGCCCCCTCCCCGCCCTTGGGCTTGGCCGCCGGGCGGACGACCGGACCGCGGCTTGGCGCGGCGAGCGAGGCCGACCACGGGGATGGGGGCCGGTGGGGATGGATAGCGTTCGTGTTGTTGGGCTCATGAACGGGAGGGCGGCACCCCCCGGTGGCGCTCCGGCCGGTGTGCGCTTGGGCACGTGCAGTTGGATTCGGGTACTTTGCTGGTATGGTATCTGTAAATAAGTGGAGTATTTACTTTCACACCCCTTGGGGTGTTCACGACCACTTGCGGTCATTACGCACTTGTGCGTTCACGCCCCTTGCGGCGATCGTTTCACAGTCTCATCAACCGTTCAAGGAAACTAAAATACGCCAACCCCCCTCTCAAGGAACTCCGGACGACGCCAGCCCTCTTGTGGCTTCGACGCACACGCTACTTCAGCCACAGAGTCTAGGACAGGTCCATTAAGACTTTTCAGTCGTGGGGGTGGCTTTTGTTATTCCTTTCCGGTTTTATCATGACCGACCACAACCACGTCCGCCGTGGTTGCCACTACCACGTCCGCCGTGGTCCTGTTCGACTCTATGAGTCGTGGTTCGACTCTATGAGTCGCTGGTTCGATCATGAGTTGCCACAACCACGCCCGACGTGGTTGTGGTTGCCACGCCCGTTCCCCCCCTGGTTCGTCAAGCGCCCGCCGTTCAAGTTCGGCGATTCACATTCATGGGGGAGCGGGAGGTGATTACCCCGTGTGTGGGTGTGAACAGGAATGTGCCACCCTGAGAACGAGCAGCGCACCCCCCCAACGACTAGCCGATGCCCGAACATCCTAGTCGTTGCATATGTATTAGCTCGTTCCTAAGCTATGGTGTCATGCTGAATGAGTACGGCGACGCAACCTCCGTCTGCTCACCACCTCTGTATGGGTGGGCGTCATGTCTATTCATGCGTGAGAGGAGAGTCCCAGCGCCTGTCCGTTGCAGGGGCGGCAGGCAAATTGTCCTATGCCTCTTCAATGCCATCTGCAGATTCACCCTCGTAGTATTCGTCCTCGGCCGTGGCGAGGTAGTGCTGAACAACACCGTCATCTTGCTCCTCATTTGCTTTGGAAGCTGAGTCGGCGATCTTTTCCAGGATCTCGTCCCGGATCTTCTTGCTGTAGCACAGCTTCGGGTTCTTGTACCAGCAGTGCTTGATGTGATGGTCCTTGCCACAGACCTCACCGTTTGGGAAGCGGTACGGGCACCGCGTGACCGGCTGAGTGCACTCGCTCCTGTTGTGGTTACCGTCGCAACGGGAGCAACGGCCCTGTAGGCCCGAGTCCCACGTTGCGGTGGGTTTGGAGGATCCCGGGGGAGGCTTGTCTCGCTCTTGGCGTCTGTCCCCGTCGTCGCGCCCCTGCCGATCACGAGGTTTCTCTGGCCCCCTCATTGGCTTGTCAGCCCGCCTCTCGGGTGCAGTATACAACAACCGCGCGTGTTGAACTTTCGTCGACTGGAGTTTTGTCTCCCGCGTCAGCGAATCTTGCATGTTCTCGGCCAGCTTGTCGACGTGCTGCTTGTAGTCATCTGTCGGCTTTCCGAGCAATATGCCAACACCGCTGATGCACGACTCATACATGCCCTCGGTCTCAGCGTTGACCGAGAAGACAAAGTTGTCATAGAGTTCCGCCGCCGACGGCTTTGGGTCGAGGTCGTCGACGCGAGAGAGCCAGTTGTTTTTGAACACCTGTGGGCTCTGCTCCGCCTGTAGGCGCATGTCGCGCAGCATCTGCCGTAGGATGGGCTGGACTTGTTGGCCGCCCATGAAGTCCGCCTTCAGAATCTCCATCGCATGCACACCGCTGTTGCCGGCGCGCTTAGCTAACGATTGCTTGAGGTCAGGGTCGGCGATCGCCGCGCAGATGTACTTGAGTCCCTCTTGGAGGTTCGACTTGTGCGTTTGGAGCTCCTTTACGCTTGTCGGAGCCGGCGGTGCTGGGCCGAGGGTGTACTCAGAGATACCCTCTATCTTGGCCCAAGCCGTGAAGCGCGCCAACCACTCCGCCATCATTTGCGGGGTGATGTTCTTTCCCTCGAGCTTTGGGATGTCCGCGTCGTACGTGCGCGTGACCTTGGCTGAGAGTGAGCCCCGTGTGGCTCCACCCTCATTAGAGAGGGCATTGCGCAGGGCCGTTGCGAAATCGGTCATCGCCTCTTCATGGCCCGTGCGACTGGCGGTGGCGAAGGCAGCAATCATCGCCTCCCTTTCAGCTCGGGCGGCGGCAGCGCTAGCCTCTCGGTCAATGCGGGTAGCCGCCGCATTGGCGGCTGCGATGGCTGCAGCGATCTGATTAATGTCGATTTGCGACGGCAGTTGCGCCGGGTTTGCCTCCTGCGGTGGCGCCTGCGTCGGTGGTGCCCCTTGCGGCTGCGGTGGCTCTTGCGCCTGCGGTGCCTCTTGCGGCTGTGGTGGCTCTTGCGCCTGGGGTGCCTCTTGCGGCTGCGGCTCTCGGTCGGTTGGCGGCTGGTCCCGATCCAGTGTTGGCGGTTGTTGCGCCTGTGATGGCCCTTGCGCCTGAAGTGGCTCTTGCGCCGGTGGTGGCTCTTGCGCCCGCGGTTGTGGCTCTTGCGCCAGGTGCGGCTCTTGCGCCTGTTGTGGCTCTTGCGCCGGGTGCGGCTCTTGCGCCTGTTGTGGCTCTTGCGCCTGTTGTGGCTCTTGCGCCTGGTGCGGCTCTTGCGCCTGGTGTGTTTCGGCATCGCGTGCTGCAGTGCTCCGCGTGCCAACAGTGTTGCCATGCAAGGCGTGCATGTACTTGTTCCACGATTCTTGCATTTTTGCTCCCGGCTAAGGGAGCAAGCAAGCCCACTCAACCCCAAGTACTCACCGTTTTACAGTGGTGTTTTTGTCGCATCGGCTGCAGCCTCTGCTGGGGCGGAACGCGCGGGGTTTTCGGCGCGATGCCCTCGGCGAGTACACGCTACAGCACCGCCGCAAGCTCTCCTGCGCGCGCGTGACGTGTGGGACGCGTGCGCTGCGCTCAAACGTCGCGATTTGGCGATAGGCGTTCGAGCCGGCGCACAACGGATAGGTGCGCCGCGCAGGGGGGGTCTGAGGGGTGCGAGAGGGGGCGTGGGTCGGGCGCGCACCGGCTGGCTCCGGGAGCGGCCGTCACGTCGAGGAGTGGGGCTGTCGGCGGCTCGAGCGCCGAGGCGTGCCGCTGCTGTGCCGTCGACAGCCCCTCTTCCGAGCCGGCGCGTGGAGGCGAGCCGCGGCCGGTGTCGCTGGTGTCGCTGGTGCGGTGGCGGCGAGGGTTCATCGGCCGGCAGCGAGAGCGACCGTCATGAAAGGAGGGGGGGGGGCTGTCGGCGGCCCGTGTGGCTCTAGGCGCGCCTACGCTGCGCCGCCGCGAGCCTCACTGCCGATCCGGCGCCTGGCGGCGGGGGCGAGCCGCGAACAATCGTCGCTGGTGGTGGTGGTGCGGCGGCGGCGGTCGCCCTTCACTCCAGCCGCGGCTCCGTTCCCGCCGCCGCCCACCGTGCACCTACCACACGCTGCCGAGCAGGCACCCGGCTCAGGGTGGAGTCGGTCGGGCCGTCGGTGCCGGAGCGGCGGCAGTCCATCGTGTACGTGCACGGCGCCTTTGCGCGCCGCGTTGCGGGGCGAGGCGCGCTTGGCGGAGCGTGTGGTGCGTGGAGAGGCGTGTGTTGTGGGGCTGTCTGTCCTTTGTGCTGGCTGCAGCCACAGCCTGCAGCTTCGGTGTTTGTGTTACTCAACTTGTGCGGCTGGCCGCATTTTGGCACTGGTTTCTTCCTGTCTTTCTTGACGTCTAGCGGAACCACCGCCGAGAAGTTCTCCCGCAGGGTTGCTCTAGGTGTGATGTGGGTCCGGGGTTGTGTTTTTGTGTGAACAACATCTCGCGCTCATCTCCGACTGGTCGTTGCGACATCCCATGCGCCGCACGCCGCAAGAGGTGCGTCGCCTTCAAGGCCAGAGAGTCGCGTTGCGCGACCTCGCGAGCCGTACCGAGCTCAACGGTAAGGTGGGCCGTCTCGCGGGAGCTGACGGTGAGCGGTGGAAGGTGGAGCTGGACGGCAGCGGCGAGGTGGTGAAGGCTCGCGAGCGCAATCTGGAGCTGACGGGCCTCGCGGAGACCGCCTCGCTCGCTGCCGCGCTCAACGACAAGCCGTATGAGTCGTACACATTGCCGCCGCTGCACCTCCCTCGCTACCACCATTATGTGCGAGCGGAGGCGAACGGACGCCGCGAGCCGACGCTCGAGGACGTGTTTCTGCTCGAGTACGAAAAGTTCGACGACGGCAGCAAGCTGTGGCCGGTGCTGGAGAAGGAGAGGGAATGGTAACTCGAGGCGCGCCTCCACGACTTCCTGCTCGCCGACGGCTACGCGGCACGTACGCGCACTTGCCGGCCTCGAGGCGCGCTCTCCTTGCGCGGCATGCCCTGTGGTGTCAGCGCTTCGCCTCGGAGCCGCTCGACTGTACGAGAGTCGGGCTCCGGCCCTCGGTACCACATCAGCGTCGGCGTGCTCCCTTCCGGCCGCGACAGGCGCGAGGCGGGTGGCGGTGCGGCGGCTGCTGATGCTGCTGCCGCGCAGAGCTGTTCGTGCACCCGAGAAGTGGCACACAGCTCGAAGGCGGCGTCGGCGACCGCCGCGCTGGCTCTCTCTCCTCGGCAGACGCCGCGTCGCGTCTCGGCGGCGGCAGCTACTTCGCCGCGAGAGTAGCGAGGCGACGCACGCGCCTCCGCTCTGCGGCAGCAGCCTCTAGCGAACGCGCCGGCATAGCGCTGGGCCGGGCGAGGGCGAGCCGAGAAACACGTGGTCACGGCCTTCGTGTGAAGAGGTTCTTGTTTTCTTATCACCCTATCTGTGAATCGCTTATCCGGCGCTCGAGGAAATAACACCGTTCGGGCTTCAAGTTACTGTAACGGCGAAAGACGAAACGGAGGAAAACGCGAGAAAAGAGAAGGGCTATTGCTGAAACTCTCTCTGAGAAGAATAGGTTTGCTGCGCTGTAGCGGCGACAGGCGACGGCAAAAATGCAAGCCCCGCCCCTGGCCACTGTTTGTGGGATATCGCCCAATTGTAGGCGATGACACCGGTTCGGCAACCGGTAATGGCGTATTGAAACGCGTCGATCAGGACGCATCCGCCGCTACCACGCTGCGCGAGCGCGGGTGGCCCCCTCCCCGCCCTTGGGCTTGGCCGCCGGGCGGACGACCGGGCCGCGGCTTGGCGCGGCGAGCGAGGCCGACCACGGGGATGGGGGCCGGTGAGGATGGATAGCGTTCGTGTTGTTGGGCTCATGAACGGGAGGGCGGCACCCCCCGGTGGCGCTCCGGCCGGTGTGCGCTTGGGCACGTGCAGTTGGATTCGGGTACTTTGCTGGTATGGTATCTGTAAATAAGTGGAGTATTTACTTTCACACCCCTTGGGGTGTTCACGACCACTTGCGGTCATTACGCACTTGTGCGTTCACGCCCCTTGCGGCGATCGTTTCACAGTCTCATCAACCGTTCAAGGAAACTAAAATACGCCAACCCCCCTATCAAGGAACTCCGGACGACGCCAGCCCTCTTGTGGCTTCGACGCACACGCTACTTCAGCCACAGAGTCTAGGACAGGTCCATTAAGACTTTTCAGTCGTGGGGGTGGCTTTTGTTATTCCTTTCCGGTTTTATCATGACCGACCACAACCACGTCCGCCGTGGTTGCCACTACCACGTCCGCCGTGGTTACGTTCGACTCTATGAGTCGTGGTTCGACTCTATGAGTCGCTGGTTCGATCATGAGTTGCCACAACCACGCCCGACGTGGTTGTGGTTGCCACGCCCGTTCCCCCCTGGTTCGTCAAGCGCCCGCCGTTCAAGTTCGGCGATTCACATTCATGGGGGAGCGGGAGGTGATTACCCCGTGTGTGGGTGTGAACAGGAATATGCCACCCTGAGAACGAGCAGCAGCCTAACCGGGCGGGGCTCTGCTCCAAGAGACCTCGAGCGTGCGTGCGTGTGCCTCGACTCGCAGACAACACAGAAGATCCGAAAACCTAACACAAACACTGAAAAGATTTTCGCAACAAGCTCCCTCGCACGACACGGGGCACCGGACTGGCGCGCACTGGCAACGCACTGAAAAGAATTCCGCCTTCACCTGTGGCTGTGCACCACTCCCGACCGCCACCGCCAACATGTCGTCTGCGCGGCCCTTCCCGACGCGCCAGAACCTGCAGGCGCGGCCTGCGCCCATGTCCTTTTTGCTGCCCTCCGCCCCGTCGACGCGGCTGAGCGTCCGCCGCCTCGCCGCGCCCGCAGATCATGAAGCTCAAGTTGGTCGGCGCCAAGAAGGGGCACTCGCTGCTCAAGAAGAAGGTCCGCCGCCGCCGCCCGTCCCGCCACCGCGCCGCGCCGGCCCGCCACCTGCCGCCGCACCACCGGCCCAACCATCGACCTCTCGCGCACAGGCGGACGCGCTGACGATGCGGCTGCGCGCGCTGCTGACCACAATCCTTAAGGCAAAGGAGGCGATGGGCAAGGCCTTCAAGGACGGCAACTTTGCGATGGCGGAGGTGAAGTACGCGGCGGGCGACATCAAGTCGGCCATCATAGAGAGCGTCGGCACGGCGCAAAAGCGCGTCGAGACGAGAGTGGACAACATCGCAGGAGTAAAGGTGCCGGCGACACTTCCGAGACGCCTCGCCCACCGCCTCCGCTCGCACCCGCCGTCGGCACGCCCCGGACCCGTCCGCCGACACGGTCACGTCGCGTCCGCAGGTGCCCGTCTTCAAGGCGGTCGACATGGCAGACGCGCCTGTGGACTACACGGGCCTCGCGCGGGGAGGGCAGCAGGTGACCAAGGCGCGCCAGACCTTCTCGGCGTGCGTGGACACGCTCATCCAGCTGGCGACGCTGCAGACCTCCTTCCTCATCCTCGACGAGGCCATCAAGGCGAGGGCGGCCGCACGCGCACGCGCACACGGCCCACCCACGCACACCAGCCGGGGCCCGCACCCCCCGGTGCCGCGGCGGCTGCCGGCGTGGAGCCGCGGAGCATGCCCCCCCCGCCCCCTTCCTCGAGCGCGTGGCCTCCCTCTATTCACCCCGCGCCACCCCGCCCCTCCAGGTGACCTCGCGCCGCGTCAACGCGCTCGACACCGTCGTCATCCCGAGGATCGCCGGCTTCGTCGACTACATCGTCTCCGA